CAAAAATTCTTTAAACCGCATCAGTAACAACAAATAGAAACTGGAATTACCAGTAATGTTCCGATAATCGGTCGTTGGTATTCCAGAAGCTGTTTAGAATAAGTTTAAAAAAAAAACAGCGAAAGAAATAATAGTTTAGCTAAAAGTTTCTCAAAGAAATAAAAAAGAAGATTAAAAAAAAAAACAGTTAAAAAATTTACAAAAATTAATGATGATGACAAAATGCTGTTTTTTTGCGACAAATGTTTTCAGCTAAATGAAGCGCTAAATATTAAAACTGATCACCAACAACTTCTTTTTTTTTCTTTTCTGCTTCTGATAAATGTTACATGAAAATCTAGACTTAAAAAAAAATTGCTTATTAAAAAAAGAAGAAGGCTTTTACGTTTTTTTTTTTGTCTATTTTCAGTTTTAAGACACATCAGATGTCACAAAATAATCGTTTTTTGTCAACCAATATCAGCGTTTTTGGTGAAAGCTAATTTTATTTCTGTCTGTTTCTTGAAGCATTTGTTGTAGTTGTAAGATCAATCTTGAAAGGAAAAGTGACAGTGTTACAGTTAATAAGCATATGAAAGTGAAATAATCACTTTCTCCTTTTTCTATTCATTCGCTTAGTCTCCTTCTCCTTCCTTCCTTCACCTTCTCGTCCTCAACCTGATCTCCTACCTAATTCATCGTATCGATCACTTTACTGCTGCTGCTTCGGAGCATTAAACAACAGACAAATGCTTTTTTAAACTATATACCCAGATTTAGTTTCTTTTATCCTGAATACTTTTCATCACCACCAAAGCTTGCGTGTAGTCCCTTGACTCATCAGTTACTTCATGACGAATTTATTTGCTCCACTGAACGCCGGTTGCCAGTATGACTATTCGGTGATAGTCTGATCGCCAAACAAAGCCAACATTAATAAATTGCAGTGATTTTTTTCTCCTGTTTTTAATTTTCAAATCTGTTGTTGTTTTTTTTTTTCTTTTCAGAAATTTCAACCGAAACTGTGTACCATTTCAATATTATTTATGAGCAATTTCCGAGGCCTAAATTTGTCAAAAAAAAAAATAATCTTTACTTTATTGGTGTGTAGACAACACCCCAAATAGTAACAGGTACCATAAGTCTATTTATGTGTTGTTTATTTAGCTTCAAGTTTTTGATTGCACATTGTAATAACACTTTCCTAAAACTGTTAAAACTTTTTTTTTTTCTTTTTTGCTAAGATTATCTCAAAACAGTGTCAGAAGTACATCAATCATCTAATTTTACAGCAATAAAAAAGGTAGAACAAGTAGATCTGGAAAGAAAAATGGCTGCTTAATTACATTTAAACAGCTTTTAATTGCTATAAACCTGGATGCAAGAAGGTTTTTTAAACCTATTATTAACAAATTGTTCAACAACAAACTTTCACACTTTTTCTCTATGCGAATAAGTTTTCTTTTTTCCTTTTAACAGTAAGTAGAGCAAAAAAAAAAAAAAAAAAAAAAAAAAAAAAAAA